TCCAACGCAGGAACCGGATGTGACCGTTGTCCAATGCATGGACCGGATGGTAATGCATATCCAGCACGAGGATTAAATAACAATGCATGTCCAACACGAGGACTAAGTAAAATGAATGTCCAACACGAGGACTGAATGGAATGAGCGTCCAACACGAGGACTAAAAAGTAATACATGTCCAACATGAGGACTGGGTACAGTAAATGTCCAACACGAGGACTGAAATGAATGAGTGTCCAACACGAGGACTAAAAAGTAAATCATGTAGACTGTAAGTGTCGATGATATATTACATACACAAAAGATACACATAGACTCATGTCACACATGCCTCGAAGTGCGGATCGGTACTTGTGTCAAAAGTCAACTCACATGTCCAGATAAAATTACTAACATTGTAACTAGTGCCAGATAAGTGAGACGAACGCTCGAACACACCAAAATATATAACAAAACAAAATTGGCCAAAACTATACGCAGAGCAGAAACAAACCGTTCGGCAGAAACAACCAGCGGTCGACCGCCGCTCCCACCGCGGTCGACCGCGCAGAGGGCAGATAGACTCTGCCCTTCGGTGCGCACATCGGTCGACCGCCGCGTCTGACGCGGTCGACCGCAAAGTAGACAAAAACCCAGATTTGGGTTTCTGTCAGCTTCGAAACACATACAAACTTGATGATTTCTATACTATTGTAAATCTAACATTTATACAAAGTCATAGAACAGAATACAACGAATTTAAACATTTAAAATCTATCATCAAGATCCCTAAACATATATAAACATGGTTTAAATATTGTATATTCAATAAAAACTGAAATTTACTCTTTTAAAACCATTTTCAGATCAGATCTCTTTAACCAAAATCATTGGTGAGCATTTGAAAACTAAATTACTTGATCCTTACATCTCATATCATAAAGATCCATCTATCTACACAAAATAATGATTTAGGCTCAAGAAAACTTATTAAAATCGTTAGAAAAACTCATAAAAACAAGGGTGAGAGATTGGGCGAGATGTTACTCGCCTGAGGGGGTTGATGAACACCCAAAAACGAGCTGAAACTGACCCTCCTTCGCTGAACACCGATGAATCTCATAAAACCCCACCGAAAATCCTTCGAAATGCCCAAAAATTGCCAAAATCCGAGCTAGGGTTTGAGAGGAGAGAGAGAAGGGGGGCTGAGGCTATTAGGGTTTGAAAGAGGGTTCTGAGAGCTTCAAAACGAGTATATATAAGTAGGGTAACAACCGAGTTTGGTATAAACAAAACCAACCCGAAACAGAACTGGAACTGGGTCTGTACGCTGAGCGGTCGACCGCAGCGACCACGGCGGTCGACTGCTCAGAGTTCTGGGCCATGCTCAGACTGGGGTTCGGTAAAAAGGTTGTAACTTTCTCATACGATCTCGGAATGAGGTGATTTAAGATTCGTTGGAAAGCTGTTGAAGATACCTACAACTTTGGTCTTATACCCTTTTCCAGATTCTAACTCAAACAGTATGAAAAATATAAAAACTCTCAACTGGTCAAAATTCTCAGATTATCACTATTTGCCTTTGTGCATGTTTTGTGTATTTACACTCATATATTCACAAACATATATTGAATTGATCTCAAATCAATTCCTATCATACTCAAACCTCAAGATACATTATTTTTATCATATAATATATTTATAATTATTTATCACACTATATTTAATTTTTCGGGGTTTTACAGATCAAAAAGGCGACAGGCTCATGATGCCAATTAACGAAAAGTTTCTCAAGAAATACTTCCTGTAGGCCATGAAGCCCTCTTTTCTCTCAATCTTCAACCAAGTCGGGCTGGGGGTTGCCTATTCGGAATTTGTTTCAATAGGGAATAGTCGTTTAGTTTTCCTACTTTGTATATCGTTAAGTTAACAGTATACCTCTGACGATTGAAATTTTCTGGAATTATTCTAAGTAGTAATAAAGAGAGTTTCGAACTTATGCTAAGATAACATTACACCTATGACACTTTCAATATTTTCATTGTCACAAATCAAAAATGAGGAAAAGGCAATGAAAAGTATTATGATATCATTTTCATTCAATATTGTTAATCTAATATAGAGTGTCAATACTTGGTATGAAAATGATACAAAAATTCCTATCCCCAGCTAAAAACAATATAAGACTTAAGTGTTAGGGTTCATCAATCTGAATCATCTGAGCTTAGACTTAACCGCAGACAGCTTCTTCTCATGAGCTGCTCGGACATGTTCGGCAATCTCCCTCCTAAGCTCTTCTTCAAAAGGCGCTGCAGTAGCAATCTCTTTCTGAATTCCCTCAGAAGCTTAGAGTGCGCTACAGAAATTCTTAAAGACTTCGTTACTTTGAAGCTGGAGCCCTTTTATGACGTCTATATCTTGAGCTAACTGAACCTTCTTCTGGGCTAGCTCAGTCTCTATACGAATAACGGCTTCTTCGGTGTCACGAACACCAATAGTAAGACTACTCATATCAGTGTGTATCTGAGTGTGCTGCTCCCGTAAGTTCGTCATGTGGGCCTCTTTCTCAGATAAGCTCTTGTGAAGAGCCTCTTGATGGCGCACCTTCGAGGCTTGGGCCGCAGAAAAAGCTTGCTCTACTTCAGATTCCAAATCGGTGCGCCGCCAATCCAAAAAGGTCCTTAATTCCACTTTCATGAGGATAGTGCTCTCTCTACAACATTTAGTCCACCGCACGTCACCCAAGCCCCTGATACTGGCTAGGCAGCTGTGCAAGAGAGGTTCGAAATCCTCAAAAGCAACATGTCCAAGGCTAACAACATTGATTGTCAATTTCATCGTATTTTCTAGCTGTTTGAGGAGTTTCTTAGGATTTCTAAACTTGGAGGAGGGGCGGTCGGGTAAATTAAACCCACAAATTCGATAGGAGCAGATCCAAAAACAACTTCAGAAGTAAACCCTTCTAGCGAATCTTGTCTTGTGGTCACCCCCTCAATAGGTCCTATCAAAGGAGCAGACTCTGAGCCCCCGACAATTAACTTCCCTTCAGCTTCCATATCCTCAGGAACAGAAGGAGTTTATTGAAGCACTTTTCCTCCTTTATCATCTGGGAGCACAACAGGTGCAGACTTCATCGCGTCTCCCATGAGCTTCGCCTTCTTGGAGTTTTTGGTTACAATGGGCCTCCTTTTTTGAACCCTCCTATCATATTCGCCCTCCTCCGCAGCGGTAAGGGCCTTCTTCCAAGACGATCTTAGTGAGCAAGGTTTAAGAGTGGGTTCTTCTTCAAAGATTTCTTCGGTCGCTTTCTCTTCGCAAGACTTGGCAGTTAGTGGCTCTTCTTGGATCTCTCTAGCTCTGGTTGCCTCTCGTTCACAAGATAAATATTCGTCCATCCCCAGCAGACGAGTCCTTGTAAAATCCTTTCTAGACTCATAAAGCTCTCGGATTTTGTTTATACAGAAAGTGTACATGTTATACTCCGGAATCTGAGAAGCTTTAGAAAACTAGTCACAGAAATCGAAACAGCAGAGCAGCTGGGTGACAAACTAGGCAAGGTGAATTATGCATGGGTCCCTCTAGCAGAGAAGAAATACCAAGCGCGAGCCCTCTCATACCAATGTATAAAGCTGGCCTTGGTTCCTTTATATATCTGTGTGTGGGGTGAACGACGACTAGTCCGTTCTTCACCCTCACAGATGGATAGAGGAATAAGGTCTTGTACCTCTTAGTTAGAGAGAGCATAGCTTCTGTTGATAATACACTTCGTGTTCTGGATTGTTTGTTTTATATTATGAATGAATAGGGAGAGTTTCCGTTGTTTTTCTTTTGTGCGTGTGTGTGGGGGGTGGGAGTAAAGAAATCATGTGTTCTTGTCTGGTTGGATCTTAGGCTCTTTCTTCTTCTGTGAACCTTTTGATAAAACATTTTAGACCGTGCTACATGGTACCCCTTAGAATCTTCACAGTATTAGCTGGAAAGTATTTGTAGGAGATTCATGAAAGTCACTACAAAAGACAAAAGAAATTTGGAAGAAAATATAATATTCTTAACATGCATTGTGGTGGGGGAGCATGACCATGTTCAAGCTTTCTTTGTTATTACAGGTAGCACAAACTTTTAGAATTTTCCAAATCACCGTGTCAACCACTGGATATTATTTAGTAGTATGTCTTGTGACACCCCCATTTTAGTCCCACGTGGATTAGTGTGAAGAAGTGTTAATGACTTAAATAGAGAAAGCTCAATGCCCAAGAACAACTAGTGCTAGCATTTTGACAGTGAACTTTAGCCAACATCGAGTTGCTCTTTGCGGGTCCAGCATGATCTGATCCATGAAACGTAAAGCGCATATAACCTCCATAATCTGTTTCCTTCCCTCAACCTTTTTTTGTTAGCACTTGTCACCTCTAAACTGACTCTCCCTCTCTTGAATTGAGGGGCGATGGGCGTTGCTAATAAAAAGAGTTGAGAGATGATAACCGCTACTGATGGCATAAGATCGTGAGCGGGGTTTATCTGGCATTAACCTCCAATGAAGCAAATATATCATCAGATCATATGGGCAGTTTCATCTGCTATGGGAGCACTTAAAGAAGACCTCAAAACCAATGTATACATCACATAAACAGGGCTTTATCATTGGACTTCTGTGTTTTTGTTCTCACGATCGTCTCCTCGATGACCATATCCTATTTGTTTATTCATTTTTGAGGTCATCAACGGCGTCATTTTTCACTTCACCACACGTATGTTTCGGATTTAGACATGGATATGACATCAACAACTCGAATAATGGAGCATCATGCTCAATGCTGTCTTCGCAAATTTGCATGAGCTTACAAGAAAACCTTGCTGATCATGCATCACAAGTTCACAAAGTCAACAAGCGAGCAAAATACGACGACAGCAATCAACGCCAAAAATGTTTATAAATTTGACTAAATTAACCAGCAAAGGATACAATAAGTTAAGACAACACTCTTTACTCCCTACAAACTTTGGGACGCAACACCTGAATCTCAATCAACTACTGTTAACAATCAGATTCTTGAGAACCAAAACTGTGCCGTATGACATATTAAATTATACTCTTAGAAAATGAATGATTGAATTAATGATTAAATGTTACAAATTGACTTAAGACTATCAACCTTTGGGCTGATTCATAGTAATACAAAATTAGGAAACTACAAAAAAATTCCGGGAACATAAATTAGCTACTGCTGCCATTGCTGCTCACCCTTATTTGAGCTGTGCCTGGCTGTCTTGAAACTTCATCTAGCTTATCATAAATATATTGGGCAGTAGGACGATCAGTTGGCTCACTTGAGGTACACTCGTAAAATAAATCTATCAAGAGCTTCAACGTTTCAGCATCAGCATCAGATTCAGCATCTGGTTCGTCAAACAAAGCTAGTGACTCCAGTTCAGGTGTAAGCCTCGGACGTCGTTTCATCTATTGATGGTGAGCTAGTCAGTTTATGAATGCATAAAAAACCTGAATCACTGTGCACTATAAACCAACACTCTGGCTAACAAGTCTTATATGTTGATATTGATAATCTGATGTCTTAATGGTTGCACATGTAAGATTAAACTACACAAAGCAATACTACACATTTCCAATTTACCTTTGTTTCCCACAACTTGGTATCTTATCAATAGCTTTCGCGGTTCCTACATATTTAAGGAAAAATCGCGAATGCAGGACATTGACATAAAATACTGAGAACAAAGCCTCATCAGTGGGTAAGTTATAGATCGATTTTAAACGTAACCCCTATGTTTTTTATTTGTTCCAAATCAGCCCTCAACTTTGCATTCTATCTCCTTTCTTAGAACATAACCATGAAACATCGAAGGGGCAAGGGTACTGTTGTCACATTCTAAGGCTTTTTGGAATAATCGCGAAAGCAGGACATTGACATAAAATAACTGAGAACAAAGCCTCATCAGTGCGCAAGTTATAGACCGATTTTAAACGTAACCCCTATGCTTTTATTTGTTCCAAATCAGCCCTCAACTTTGCATTCTATCTCCTTTCTTAGACCATAACCATGAAACATCAAAGGGACAAGGGTACTGTTGTCACATTCTAAGGCATTTTGGAGGTACGTGAATAGATTAGTTATATTTCACTTCAATTGACGATTGTACCCTCATCAGAATCAATAACGGACTTTTTTTTTCAAATGTTCAAGGCCATGGTCTTAGAAATTAGACTTTGTTCTCATACTCTAGTCTCTAGCATGCCCTCACAATTTGAGGATCACTTCACCAGTAAGATTCAAACATTGATTGCCCTAATACCATGTCAAAGGTCTCTACACTACACCAAAACTCCAAAGTTGTAGTGAGAAGGTTGAGGGTTATAATTTTACACTTTAACAAGAAAGATGGAACACACATACATTTACTTGTCAAATTCATGTACTGAGAAACATCGATGAACTTTGACCGCTAAATAATTACAAAAAGAAAACAAAATGTGTTGTACATACTATCTTGGACAGGACTCACCTGCAGAAGGTTGTATATCTCATCATCAGAGAGCCCGCTGTAAGGAATTTGAAGAGTGAGCAGTTCATATAGAAGACAGCCATAGGACCAGATATCCACTTCCTGCACCCCAAGCAAATAACATTAGAACACAATTAGAGAAACTGCCCATGAAGTATCTGCTTCAACCGAAACAAAAGGTGAATAGACCCAAACAGACAGCACGCACGTAAAGTGTCTTGTATATAATAGTGCCAATGAAATCAAGAACTATCTCATCTATGTTGCAGTTATAACATACATTTTATTGGAAAAAATATAAAATGGTATTGCTTTCGAATTATGTAATAATTTGTCGAACAATAGTGTACTCGCTAGATACATCAATACAATGTAATACAGATAATTGAATCATGTCACAAATCATTCACTAATTATTCAGAAACCTTCCTCCATAATCATATCAACAAATCCATGCGCAAATACAAGCAGAAAAAAATTAAGTAATAAAATTACTAGTAAACAACAGCATAAACGCTTAAAGTGGGGAAAGAACACAAATTCCATTTAACCAACCATAAAATGAGATACAAATAGCAATAGTTTTCCTGACAATCATCCAAAATCAAGGTTTTAAATGTCGGATATCAAGTTCATATCGGACGGCTAAAATTTATGTCGGATAGCAGAAATCAGGGATACGTCGGTGGACATGAAAAAATTATCGGATTGCCATATCGGATGGTGTGCATATGTGTAATATAATATCATAAATGAAATCTAAACATAATAAATTCTACTGTCTAAACATATTAAAAAGTAAATAACTTATGATGCTTAGGGTTAATGTTGAAGATGTGAGAAAAGAGACGCCCGATGTTGGCGGTTAAGGAGAGGGAAGATCGCCCGATACTGATGTCGAAGGAACGGCTCAGAAAAAAGACCGATGAGTTGTTAAAGAAGAGAGAGGAGGAACGACGGAAATGACTTCGGTCTTTTTATCCTCTAATTGATCGAGATTTGTCTTTGGAAACAATATTAAGTCAATCAGAAATTTAAACCCAAACTTGATTAGATAAACATAACCAAAAAAATCAGCCAACTTTTCAGACTGAAAAATCAGCTAACATAGCTATCCAGCCGACATAACCAACATAATCCCCGATATATCCGACATGAACCATGAAAACGCAATACGCATTGAAAAGTATCATATCATGTCGGTTGGCCCCTAAGTCCGCCATACGCATTGAAAAACATCATATCATGTCAGCTGACATGACGGCCGACATTTAAAACACTACCCAAAATATGAAGAATAACTTTCAGATATGAATTGAAAAGGTAGTTTCACATACTCAATAACTAGCCATTAGTCGTTTCACGCCATGTCCCACAGTTCTCATATTTAGCTCCGTCAAACCAATACAGTACACCCACACCAAGTCGGATAGTCATCAAAGTTAACACTTAACAGCCAGATATAACTTGGTTAATTCTTTAGTGGAGCTATCATGTCTTTTCTATGGCCATTACCCGATCCTAACTTAGAGATGATGAGCATAATGCACAGCAATAAATAACTTAAAACTGAGTTTTGCAGATAAATATATACTCGTCTGGAAAGAGGGGGAAAACACGAAAAAAGAAAAAGAAATGCCACTTTATAAGGAAAAAAACTCATCAAAAACTGCAGTAGAACATTAAGGTCAAATAAGCTCCTGAAAGAATCTACATTAAACATAAGAATGAAAACTATTAATTAAAGACTATCCAAGAAGGACGACTTACCAGACCATAGTGATTCTTTTGATGCATAGCCTGCAGTACCTCTGGAGCCATCCATCGTGGAGTTCCTACGCAAACATCCGGTGGATGAATTCCAATATGTGCATTACAACAAGTGTGCATAAAAGATTGGAGCGGCACAGATCTATCAAAATCAGCAAGCTTGATAACTGGAGTCCCATCACTTCTCTTGCGGTCTAGGTCGATTAAAATATTTTCACTTTTTATATCCCTATGAATAATGTTCTTGGAGTGCAGCTCAACCAACGCACACGCAACATCTCTAGCAATAAAAAGAGCTATGTCAACTGGTGCATTCTTTTCTCCCCTTTCCAATAACTTCAAAATTTTTATTAAGGAAAAAACACTTGATTAGAACACAGGAAGGAGCATACCAACAAATTACCTTCACGGATCCGCCTTTTATGTACTCCATAACAATTAAAGACTGCAATAACCTATTTTCTTTAACCCCTTCTACTGAAGGAGCCCACTTGTACGAAAGCTGATGACCATATATTTCAACAATAGAACTGTGTTTCCTCAAAGCGCCAAGCATTCTAACCTCTCCCAAGAATGAGTATTCAAAATTTCTTATCTCCTCCAATGACGCCCTGCAAGATTCCAAGTTGCGAACCTGGATAACTCCATTAGTCAGCATCATTAGCATGTCACAAGGATTACAGAGCAATAGTAAGATAAAAGCAAAGAAGTAATGAATTGCATAATAAATGAAAACAAACCGCCTCGTACTGGATAACTGTAACTCCACAGCATACTCAAGTTTAAAGAATTTCTTCACATAATATTAGAAATCAATGCTTCTGCAAAATGATATATTTAGGCATGAACATGTACCTTTACTGCAGCATCAATTGTACCGAACTTGCAATGAAATACAGACTGTGATTTTGCTTTCTCAATCTCACGGGACAAGGACGGAAAAGAAAAGGAACACCCGAAATAAGAAGAATTTTCAGCAGGTGAGGGAAGCTGGACCCGGCAAAGAGGGAAGTATCTGAAACAAAACATGATTGGTCAATGTAAAACTGAGAACATGCACACACAGAGATAAACATCAGTGACCAAAATATATAGAACAAAATTAGGTTTTGTGTGTGTGTATATACCCATCAAATCTTCCATATTAACAAATTTACCATCCAAATGCAGAAATATCCCCCCAATTCTTTCTTATTTGGTTTTTCTACCCCTCAATTTAACAATGTTGGTTTTAAAATGGGGCAATATCAAAAAATTTCTAATAACTTTCAATATGCTTGCAACATTTTCCCATTTGAAACCTAATATTTTGAAGTAGGAGTGGTAGAAAAACTCAATGTGAGAGAATTGAGGGGTAATCTTGCAAATATCAAGATGAAGGGTAGCTTTGCAAATATGGAAGATTTGAGGAATATATATGGGGGAAAAACCAAAAAAATTATACACTGTTAAAAGAAAAAACTGACCTGCAGTAGTACTCTGGATCAGTTTCTTCTCTTATATCTGCTGGATGGCATGCGTCAACAATCATCCTCACAAATGAATTGCCTTTCTTGACATGAATGGCATTCCAGGCATGTGGCATGTAATCTAGGAATCCCCTCACAAGTTCGCAGGGAATCGGAGGGTCTGCTCGATCACACAGATACTTCAACATTTCAAAAAGTTAATTAGCGAATTGATATATTGAAATCAACTTCACATGTAAATATAAGCGAGTAAGATATGGAAGTTTACCTTCATAAGAACAGCTCTGTGCCTACAAACGCCAAAACGCAAGGTTCCTATGGGTACAACAATGGAATTGCGTCTAGCCTTAATTAACCGCAGAGAATTATCACACAACTCTTCAAAGTTAAAATTTGTTCCCATACCAAATCCCTGCTTATCAATATCTCCTTTACCATGTACATTTCCTGCCCAACACGTACAGATAAATGGTTGCTGCTTATTTGAACCAACCATGGTCCTCCGTAATTTAATGATTGTGGAACTCCTATCACTTCCTCCAAAACAATCCGATACAAACATAGCAAGAATTGATGCCCTCTGCAAGTTATCAACTTCATGATCCTTATTCTCCCTTGAACATGACCTCCTAAAGCTGGATAAAAGCATTTGGGCAGAAGAGGCAATTGCATCCAACTCTTCATCCCTATGTCTGAAACGAAAGAAACCACAAAAAGGTTAGCAGTCAGTGCCAAAGATGAATCTAATAACCATATAAGAACTAGACATATTATCAAATTTAGTTAGTTTATCCTAGGTAAAAGATTAAACAGTTCCATAGACATGTACGTACCTATCCAAAAGAATAACTTCACGTGAATCAAGGCAAAGACTTCGCTCATATTCATCCAACGACATAAAGAGGCGATCACGTCCAGCATCATAGAAACCATCTGGTAGATAATCATCAATGCTACAGAAAGAATCTGTACTATATTTGCATGATGCATATGAGTAATCATCGAAAGCCCTCCGGAACTTGCTTGGTTTAGGGTTATCAAGATCCTTATCAGAATGCCTTTTGGATTTTACAATACGTTTATCTGTGTCAGAAGAAGAATTATCATCAGACACAGTTAGTTCATTCTGAGGACAAGGCAGGAGACAGCTAGACACACTCTCATCTTCATAGTCATTTTCTGTGTTCAAGAAGTTAGATTCAGTTATACAAGAGCTATTATCTCCATAACTTATGTTGGTTAATCCAATATTTCCATTATCATCAAGACTGGGGACAACTCGTGCAGAAACATCAACAACACCGTTAGCACCGTGTGAAAACTTATCTTCTGCAGGATGGTCGACCAGTCTTTCTTCATAATTAAGATGTAACTTGGACCGTCCATTTCCTAATATGGTATATTTATGAGAATCATTTTCGTCGTCCATCTTCACAACCATAATATCACAACGATCATCTACTCTCCACTTAGAAATATCTCCTTCATTTCCGCCTAATTTACAGCATATCCATGATGGAATGTCAAAGGAGAAGTGGAGCTTATTGTCCTAGAAAGAAAGAAAAATTGAGCAAGGAGTCAATGCAAGTTAGAAGAGATCACAACAGGAAAAGCTTAGTTGATATTTCTATTAAATAACTCAATAACTTAAACTGCTCAAAATCTAGTAATACTTAGCACTAACGATGACGAGCAATAAAAAGGTAAACCTGATCTCAGATGTAAGGAAGGCAGACTAGAATACATCATAGTTTGAATCCATTACCACTATCTCAAACCAGACCTAGTGACTGCAGTAACAACCAGAGACAAGTATGCATGATTTCTAAACAAAGATCGCAAAGATAATGTAAAGAATTTAATTTGAACAGTATGTGGGATAAAAGAGCAGGTTGGAGAATTGGTTCGCTTTTATGTGAACGACATTGTGCGAAGAGGGGGCAAAAAGTGACATGATCAAAAGCTATACAAAAAACTACATGAGCTGCTCTCCAGATATCTGTAAAGCCACAATGTTTCTGAGCGCGAGCAAACATCTTAAATTATAAGCAAACATCATAATGAATATGCCCAAGGCAGAAAATCAAGAACAATGACTAGATGAGCAAACACCAGAAAGTTTTAATTAATGTTACCAACAAAAAAGAAGAAGCAATCACTCCACAGCCTTTCAAGTTAGCAAAGTAGGATATAGTGAACATAAGAAACTGGCAGGTAAAAAGTCCCATTTACAAGAGCGATAACTGTGTATGTCTGACTTGGATCACTTTAAACTCTGTTCCTTAAGAGTGCGTCCACATGACAAATATGGGAGCAATGTTTTAAGGTTCCTGCTAGTTTTGCATCAGAATTTGCAGTTTGAGGGTGCAACAAAGGGAGTAGTAATTGAACCTAAATCAATAAACTGCAAATTTTAAGTTTGATTAGAAATTTTAAGATTTACAATCCTATGACCTTCTCTAATACAGTGCATTGGCACTCACTTTTCTGGCACTTCATTTTGCAAACAAACAGCTAAGACAACTTTTGATGTTCAAATTTATCCATATAAATTAAGAATCCTATAATTTTTAATTAAAATGAGAGCGCAATCTACTATTTTAGTTCAACAAACTATTGCAGGAACAAAACTAAGTAGAAATAAGAAAATGGATGAAGGGTAAGTTTATTATGGAATACCTGAAGGTTCAGATACTGTAGAGTACGCATAGAAGCCAGTTCAAGCTGTGATAATGAAGTCAGCCTATTATTTGAGAGATCCAACTTTTCCAGCCTTCCCAATGAGGAGATTCCTGAAGGCAGATCGACCAATTTATTATTTGTAACTCTAAGTAATTTGAGATGATGCAATTCACATATATCATTGGATAAATCCTTCATCTTATTGAAAGAAAGTTCAAGCTCCTCAAGTTTTTTAAGACAGCCAACTTCTGGAGGAAGGCATCTGCAGATCAAAAACAGGATCCATCATTTGATAAAACCTTATATCATAACTTTCCTAATAAGTAAATCTATATATCCAACTGCATAGTGATTAGAAAAAGAAAATTCTGTAATAAATTCGCAAACATTATAGTCCAACTCCAATCCCATGTCAAATGTACCATTTCAATTGCAAGTTGTGTGTGGACAAACAATGCAAATAAGGTAATCTTAACAAGTAACAGTTACAAAATTTCTAAACCATAGAGCCATGTAGTTAGCATCTAACTTAAATATAATTTATATATGACCTGATGATATTAGATTTGGTGATAAGTGATTGAGTACTATTGCCACAATTAAGAACAGAATTAGGAAGAATGGTATAAATGGTATAGAACTGAAAGGGTAAACAATAATTTCAACACATGGACTAAACAATTGCATCAATTTCTAGACAAAAAAATGCATGCAACGTATAGGCTTCAATGTTTCTCTAGGCTAAAATCAATTATTGTTTCTAGATACCAGGCTAGAGTCCTTTAGTTTTAATGTTCCATAAAAAAAACTAATGATTCAAAAAGAAAAGAACACAAATAAAAATATGAACTTTACAACTGAAATGATAACAACACCTTTGCATGTAGACCAAAAACGCGTATGTTGTATATGGACTTCAATAATTCTCTAGTTAACTACACTTTCCCATAGCAATGCTAAAGTCCATCTGTACTAGCACTCGACAAAATTAATGATTAAAAAAGCAGAAAACACAAGTAAAGCTGCAAAATTTACCACCAAATGAATAAGCTTTAATTGCATTTTAAGACCCTAAATTTCATTGATCTTAACATTGGAAACCACCCCAAAGGTTCACTCTTGCAACTTTTATACCTTACATTACATCAATATAAAATTTTTCACCCCAAAACCCTTAAAAACGGGATATTATATGGGAAAATTTGAACTTCAGCTTATCAAAGTTAAAAATCAATAAATTTTAGGGTATGATTACATTGCAATTAGCCAAAAGATAACAACAATAGATAAAAATCACGATAAGAATAATACCTAAGCGAGAAATGACATATGGAAAGCTTGGTCAACCACCGAAAACTCACACTCTCCCCCAACACAGAGAGAGCCCTAGGTCTCCTTGGAACCCTAAAAAGGTTCAGTTCCATCAAGCACCAAAGCTTCTTACTTGAAACCTTTGACAGGCCCCTTGTCAAGAATTTAACCTGCAAACCCTCGAGCTCTATGAAATTCTCAGCCTCCGGCGGGAAAATGTACGTATTATTACGGTAAAGATAGGGTCCTGGGATCGAAATTTCCCAAACATTGCTTGAAACATCGAAGGTTGAATCTTGGTGATCCCTGGATCTCGTCAGCTCGTCCCCGCCCTTAGAATCGACGGTGGCGGCTGTATCCATGGATCTTTGGAACCCAAGATTTTGTAATTGGGGGCTAGGGTTTTTGAAATTCTAGGGTTAGGATTTCAAAAACCCTAGAGAGAGAGGGATTTGATTGTATTTAATTTAAATACAAAAAGTGGAAGTAGAGGGAAAATTAGGGTGAAATCGAAATAAATAATGGACTGTTCTGAGAGGGGGGAAATCGGACCGAGAGCTCGCAGTTTTTTTAGGGCGGCGTCCAGGCGCGTTTGTAATTTTACTTGTAGACCCTACTTATTCGTAATTTACAGGATAGCTGGTTATCGTTAGACAACTCTTTACCGGGTCAATTGCACATAAACCCCTATAGTATCCACGCGCCCCACGCGCCCCCACCCACAACACAAAAAAAACTCATGCACGCACCAAAATTAAAAAATGTTTTGACTTTTCCACGCTGGGTGAAACTTTGCCACTTATTACTCATAAAGTAAAATTAGTGAGTCTATCAGAACGAACGAGTCAAAAAAGGTCACCAGAGGAGTTTATCGATCGAGATGATATTATAGGGTCGAGTAAATTCAAAATAATGACATTAAGGACATCTATGTGTAATTAACCAAGATTATATATTGTTAACAATTATTTACATTCTACTAGTTTCTTGAGCTCTTGTATGTTGTAATTACACGTACGGGTGACTCTGAGATTTATGTATGAACAAATTTTCACTGTAGCCCTTTTTCACTTTTTATTAGCAAAATCGACTGTAGCCCGTTTTATTTAGTGAAATTGACCCGGTTTCTCGCCACGTCAGCGTCGTGGCGAGAAAGCGGGTCGATTATTTTTTAATCGTCTTCGTAAACAGTCGGGGTTGGCAACCCCGACTGTTTAGTCCATCCCTCGCTAAGAGCTTAACTAAATGGTCGGGGTTGGGAACCCCGACCAATTCGTAATAGACCTATTTCGAATTGGTCAATGTTCCCAACCCCGACCATTTAGCAGAGCCCAGCAACGCTGGGCTCAACCAGGGACGAAATGGTCGGGGTTGGCAACCCCGACCAATTCGAAGCCCATTTCGGCTAAGGCAAAAAGTAGTCGGGGTTGGGAAACCCGACTACTTATTCTGGGCCCATATAAAAGCCACCGAACCACCGAACCCTATCTCCCTTTATCCATTTCGTTTCTCCGCCTCCCTCTTCTCTCTTCCGTCCCCGTTCTCACGAAACCAAGCCTCAGATCTGAGGTTTCTTCGGCCGAAATTCAAATCAAAGGTTATCTAAACTGATTTAGGTAATTTCTTCTACTCCTCTCCTCTTTTAACATGTAGAAATCTAGGATTTTTTCTTAAAAATAAATTTCTAGGGTTTTCATTCATAAATGAATTTTGTGGGTTTTATCACTGAAATTCGTTTGTATGATGATTGTTATTAATGTAATTAACTTTTAGGGCATAGAATGTTCAATTGTTCAATTTTAGGGTTTAGGATTTACAATTTGGGAATTAGGGTTTTTGGTTGAAATTATATGAGATTATTTGCATATTAATTTAATTTTTTATATTTAAATGATATAATTTTCTTTTGAATAGGTTGAGCAATATGATTTTTATTGCTTGTTCTTATGGTGGACAAATTAATTATGGGTTGAATAATATGCCAATGTACGTCGGAGGGGTAACGACGCCATTAATGATCTTGGAATCATATAGTTACTACGACTTGGTTATGGAATTACACCGAGTTACGGAAATTGACCCACGAGAATACCGACTGAAAATTATATGCAATTGGCCCATAGCTATTGATAGAACATCCGCAGTGGAGATCTCGAACGATTATCATATGAGTATTATGTTTAAATTGGGCATGTCACAACAAACGGTAGAATTGTTTATTAAAAAGTTGCCACATAATTCGTGTCAAATATTCAAACCTCCAGGAGAATTCTCACGCATGTTAGATATGGGAGTTCATTCCGATGGGTTTCTTTCTTCTTCTAATGAAATGGAGCGGGCTCAATTCAGTGGAACGTCAAATGTCATGAATAACGAAGTCTCTTATGGAAATATGGGGAGGTTAAGTGGGGCAACAATTGAAGAGGATGAAATAAGCAATGACTCGGGAGGAGAAGAACAATATAGTGCACCAGTTGATAGCATGCAATTTGTTACCCAAGAGGTCGAAGATAATCCGGAATAGCCTGATGAGGCTTACGTTAATAATGACTATGTTGAGTACGAAGAACCACCCCCCGACGAGTTTGAAGATGATGAGTGGATTCGTTCTTCCACAGTAAAAGATATGTGCATCGGTGAAAGTTCAATTCGTAGAGGAGATGATGACGCCCCTTTAAAGTTGGTGATTTATTCGAGACTAAGGACCAGTTGGTTGATGCTATTTGTGAATACTCTTTCGAAAAGAATTTTAAGTTCAAGCAAGTTAAAAGCAATCGCAATACTCTTTCGAAAAGAATTTTAAGTTCAAGCAAGTTAAAAGCAATCGCACAAGTTATGATGCAATATGTTTTATGAACACACAAAGAACAGGTCTGACCGAGGGAAATGAAGCTGATTACTCATGTCCTTGGAAGTTATATGCATTTGCAGGAAAGAAATACAATTTTCAATTTAGGATCAGTGAATATTGCGGTGTTCACACATGTGTCAATCCAATATTAGAGCAAGATCACAGTGGTACATCTGCCTCTTACATAGCGTGGTTGATTATGCCAAAATTAAGGAAGAAGCTTGATCTAACGCCCGATAATATAATTGAGAAAGTGCTTGATACCAAGTTCATTAAAATCTCGTATATTAAAGCATGGAATGCAAGGAGAATTGCGATGACAAAAATATTTGGTGATTGGGACAAGTCTTACGCGACACTAGCTCAATATCTTGATGCGATCAAAAGAAGTAATCCTGGATCTGAATACAAACTCATAACCAAAGAGATCGATCCGGGAGTTCATCAATTCACCTCTGTTTTTTGGGTATTTGGGCCTTCGATTGAGGGGTTTAAATTTTGTCGGCCTATTCTTAGCATTGATGGCACACACTTATACGGTAAATACAAGGGTGTACTGCTTGTTGCTACAGGAGTTGATGCAGATGGTGGCTTATTTCCTTTGGCCTTCGCCGTTGTGGAGGTCGAGAACAGTGAAAATTGGGAGTGGTTTTTTTCTTGCATTCAATTATATATTTTTAATGTGTTGCCTCCTAGAAAAATTACTTTCATATCTGATAGGATGAAAGGTATTCCAAAAGCATTGTGGAGGAGATTTGGCTCTCATCACCATCATCGCTATTGCTTACGACACATTAGAGCTAACTTCAAAAAGAGCTTTAGTCAGATTCATTTACAAAACCTTCTGTGGCAAGCGGGTTGTACGCCGGAAACATATGTGTATGATCGGATACGGGATCAAATCAAGGCAACATCTCAAGCTGCACATGATTGGATTGAGAGAAGTCTGGGCAATGATTACGTCGACCGGTGGGCACTAAGTAAAGATGGAGGGAATCGGTTCTGCATGATGACAACCAATTGTTCTGAAAGCTTCAATGGGGTACTTAAGGGGGCTCGGGCAATGCCCATACAAGCGTTGGTTGCGAGGACATTTTATAGGCTCAATTACTATTTTGTCAAGCGACGAGAGGATGGAGCAATGTGGGCCTCGTTCTTGACACCAAAAAATGAGGCGATTTTAGAAGCTCGAGTTAAGCAAGCGAGAGGTACGAAGATTGTTAGATTTGTTGTAGATGAATGGGAGGTTACAGACAAACATGGTCACAATTACACCGTTAATTTGGGAGGTGCACATTGCACATGCACCTGTAACATACCAGAATTGCAAAAATTGCCTTGTCCACATGTCATAGCGGTTATGTCCAAGCAATCGGGGGGTGCAAATATTTCGTATTACACATACGCTTCTGAGTGGTATCAATCAAGCAACTATAGAGAGGCATATAAGCAGTGTTTCCACCCCGTACATGATAGTCGTTATTGGCCACACTATAACGGGCCGCATGTGGTGCCTCCAAGCTATAAGAGACAAGTCGGACGCCCACGATTAGTATGCTTAAAAGGTACTATGGATGAAGGCCGGGAAGGAGCTCCGAAAAAAAATAGATGTGGATATTGCAGACAAGCCGGGCATAGAAGATCTCATTGCCCGACCAATCCAAATAGATAGCAATTAATGGGTACAATTTTATACATTTGTAATTTCATTCTAACTCATTTATAGATCAATGCTTATAAAAAACTCAAACAATGCTTATAAATCAATGCTTATAGTAAAATCAATTTTTTTCTAACTCAATTATAGATCAATTAATGGATCATCGTTATATGTGCAGATATTTTAGTTATGGAGGTGGGTCCATTGACACATGATGTTCTTTATGACCAAGAGCGCCACCGATCTGTGAAGATAGACGCTGGGGAGGTAAAGTACAGTTTTATTATTTTTAATTATATATAAATTTCAATGTAGTTGATTGTTACTGAACATTTGCACTGTTTACTACATGCAGGCCCCGAGTATTACTGTTGTCGATCATACCCGTGCACACTCTAGCTGGGAGTTGACGGATCCACAGATACAATATTATGTGCGTCAAGCCGGCTTTTTTGAGTGTTCACAACTTAAATGGGTAAGACTTGATTGGGCACTTTTGACGGCATTGGTTGAACGATGGAGGCCCGAGACAAATACTTTCCACCTGCGCCAAGGAGAGGCGACGATTACCTTGCAGGATGTTGGGGTTATACTTGGCCTCAGAGTAGATAGTGATGCAGTGACGGGCAATGATTACTTCAACTATGTCAGGGCGTGTGAAGAATTGTTAGGTCACTGTCCTATAATGAAGGGGGGAAAGATCAAGCTCGAATGGTTAAGGAATAACTTTATGAATGTACCGATCGATGCGACTGATGAGATCATTAAGAGTTATGCCCGTGCATATATTTTACATATGATCGGTACTATTCTGTTTCCGGATTCCACTAAGGATTCCGTGCACGTGAGATGGTTACCGCTTCTTGGGGGAGTGTGTTAGCCTACTTGTATAGAGAGATGACGAAAATAGCACTCGTACAAAACAAAGAATTGAAGGGCTGCCTCACTTTGCTGCAGATATGGTCATGGGAGCGATTGCATTTGGGAACATTTGATTTGAGGGAGGCACACGCTCTCGATGGCCATATTCCGTTAGGCTACAGGTATTATTA